AAAAACGGGGTCTTTCCCGACTTCCCGGCCCGAAGTAGTCGCTGTTTCTGTCCTAGGTAGCATGATCGTTTTTCGGCTTGCCCATTCAAACTTGCAGGAGTTTTTTCGCCTGTCGTACACCATATTTACGTCAAATTGCCAGTGATACCGCGAGAGAGAGAGAGAGAGAGAGAGAGAGAGAGAGAGAGAGAGATGTTCAATTTAAGTTGTACGAATAAATTAGGAATAAAAAATTTAGAGATGTGGGTCAAATTATGTTTTGAAATAGAAGTGTATTTAGATAAATAGTTTGAGGTTGTCATTTAGTTGAGTTCTAATTAGGTTTGGTATAAGCGACCTAAGCATATTAAACCCATAAACAAAACCATATATTTTTTACATGAACAAATACAAAATATTAATTAATTATTCATTAACTCTCAATTAATTATTACTACAAATTGTTAACCAATTATTATTATTAATTATTCATTAATTACTTAAAAATTATAAATTAATTATCAATTATTAATTATTAACTAATAACTAAATGACTAGTAATCTGTAATTGCTTATTTATTACTTATTAACCAACTATTGATTAATAATTAATTAAACATAAAACATTAAAAATTGTAATTATTAATTATTTTTTAGTAATTAAGTAATCACTAATTAATTATTACATAAAACAAAAGGTCAAAGGAAAAAAAATAGTGATAAATACTCACATCCATATTGTGCGTGAGAACTATCGTTTCACTCCCAATTTCGACAAGAAACAGTGATTTCCACGTCCAACATGGGCGTGAAGGATATCTCTATGCTCCCTTGAAATGTGCTATTTCACTATCGTTTTGGGTGTAGTTAGCAAAAATTACGGACTTTTCAAATCCTAGAAATCAATATTTTTTTCAAAATTAAAATCGTATTCGTAAAAATAAAACCGCGTTTACCTAAAAAGTCCAAAAAATAGGGGAGAAAAAAAAAAAAAAAAAAAAAGCAAACAAAGGAATTTTATATCAACTATGGATTGAAAGCCCAACCCCAGTTACAAATTGGGCCGAACCCCTCACTAAACCCAAAATAACAAAGTAAAACCACAACCAAAAATTTAATACCGAACATATCCCTCCAAACCCCAGCACTCAAAACACACACACTGTGTGTGTGTCTCTGCGCCACTGCACAAAACCAGCAGCCACCGCAACTCCGTGCTCCTCCGTTCAAATTTTATACAGAAAAATAAAATGGGGAAAAGCGATGATTCGATTACCAGACGGAAGAACAAAAAGAGCTTAAAAAAGCAGGAGAATAAGAAGAGTTCTTCTTCACAGGTCTCCGCTCGCGTCGCCGCCATCATCGCCTCCAAGAAGCGCCGCCAGTCCGGTAAACGCCGCCAATGTCAGGTCTGTTCGTTCATTATTATTATTTTTTTTTTTTTTTTTAATTTTTTAATTTTCTGTTGAGAAAAATTAACACAGTAATTGTTTACTTCATTTACATTGAATTAATTGATGATATATTATCTACACAAATCAATTACCTATTTGCAGTTTTTAAGGGTTGCAGCAAAAATTATGGTTTATAATTAACAATTGCATGGCTAATTAAATTGTGACAAATTATGTTTTATTTATTTAAGTTTATTTTCTTAATTGGCAGGGTATGTGCTTCAGCCTTCCAACTCCAGAGAATCCGTTCAACGAGGCGAAAACCGAGCAGACGAAAAAACGGAAGAGAGATTCAAGAGAGAATAAGAAGCTTCTAGACAAGAATAGATTAAAAAAGAAGTCTTCCAACAACAAAGACGAGGCCAGCGAAAATCTCAGAGAGACGAAAATCGCAAAGCCTTCACAAAATGCAAACAAAGGGAAGTTAGCATTAGTTTCGATCAGTTTCATGGGGCCGGAAATTGCAATCGACGTGGGCACACCGTCATGCCAGGTCATCAAGTGGGACAAATCCGACCGTTCGTTGAAAGAACTCGGTTCTGGTAAAAGAAGCACCGAGTCCCCGTCGAAGTTTTTGATAATGTGCTTGAATTCGATACAGAATGAGTTGCTGAACGGTGAGGAGGAAAAGGACGAACCTCTGTTTGCAAATGCGTGGGGGCTCGAGTTTTGGAACTGTTACAGCACTGGTAAAGATGTGTTGGAGATCAATGGAGTTTATTCGACAATGGAGCAAATTGCTTGGATGGCGTCGACTGCTGCAGATACCATTTCGATGAAGGAGAAAGAGGGCTTGTCGTTTGGTGGTCCGTTTCTTTTATATCTAGTGCCTTCTCAAGTCAAAGCTTCCGAGGTTCGTTTTTCGGCAAATTTCTCGTTATTTTTTTAGATTGCGAATTTCTGATGGTTTCTTATAATATGCAGAATTTTGGATCCATGTGATGTAATTTTCTTCATGAACCGACATGTTACGTTTCTTGCTCTAAATTAATATTTACCTTCTTTTTTTGTCGTTTAAATACCATGGAACTTTTAGTTTTATTTGTCTTGTTCTCGATTGTTGTTAGTTATCTCATTCATTTATTTTTTTATATTGCATTTTTTTCCGGTTACATCGAGTGTTTGTTACTTATCGTATTCGATAATTTGTAGGTACGCCAAGTCTGCAAGCCTTTGAAAGTTCTTGGGATACATACAGTGAGCTTGCACTTGGGAGCTTCCATAGATCATCAAATTAACGGGTTAGTGTCCCTATTGAATTTTCTTTTATGCATTATTTTTATCTATTGGCAGCTAATTTTCTATTCTACGAACAAATCTATGTTGCAACAATGCCAAAAAAAAAACAGAATATTCGTTGCGAAACATAGTAGACGCGATTCAGTATTGTGACCAATTAAATTTGAAGTTGTTCGACATTCTTTTTCGACTTTCTGAAGTCAATTTCTTTCTCGACTTGTTTGATTTGATTTCATTACATGTCGCAGTTTAAAGAGTTGCGAACCAGAGTTTCTCGTCTCTACCCCGGAGAGACTCTTAGAGCTTATCTCATTGAAGGCCGTTGACATATCCGGAGTTTCCTTGCTGGTAACTTTTAATAAGCTTTCTCCTTTTGTCTCAAGTTCTCGTTTATCTGGGATTTACATGAACACAAGTTAATGAAAACATTTTTCGTAAAGGATGGGTAGTTATTATTACTATTATTTTCTTTTTTTTTAATTATTATTTTCTTTTTTTTGGTCTGTGTGTGATTGTAGGTTGTTGATGGACTAGAAGACCCATTCAAAGGCGCTTACTTTGATGCAGTGAAATCCATAAGGCAACTCATATCTGGAAATCCTAGAACAGTCATTTTCTGTGACTGCACGACTAATACTTCCATTTCCGTCGTGAAAAAGCTATTGGGTGGATCATAGTACCTACGATCATCTACATATGTCGAGATTAAGAGCTGTTATAGGTACGTTTACGAATGAAATATTCTTAGTAACATTATTCATGTTTTAATACACATATATATTGTCAAGTTGCAGTGTTAGAGCGGTACATTTTTTTTCTTCTTACTAGTTCTCTCGACACCTTACATTGATAATGCTTATTACATTATTCTAAAACAATAATATTATATATATATATATATGCCTAAGAGTGACTATCGAATTAGGTTACTTCTCAGTTTGAGGACCGAGAGTTTATATACATATTTTTCTGTGGCAAATTACGGCCACTCCCCTGAAGTAACGTCAAATTACGAAACCCCCCTCATTTTTTGGGTAGTTACAACCAACCCCTCAACTATGTATTGTCTTACACGTACCTATACGATGTCAAATTTACCTACTGAAATAGGCATTTTTTCGTAAGAAAATACATAGTTGAGGGGTGGTTGTAATTACTCAAACATGAGGCGTTTTTTCATAATTTGAACTTACCTTTGGGGTGGCCATAATATACCCTAAATTATGTATTGTCTTGCACGTCCACCCTTACGATGCCAAATTTACCTACTCAAATAGGGGTTTTTTTATACGAAAATACATAGTTAAGGGGTGGTGGTAATTACTCAAACATGAGGAGTTTTTTTTGTAATTTGACCTTACCTCAGGGGTGGCCGCAAGTTGCCCTAAAATTTTAGTTAAAAAAAAAACAAAATCGAATTTTGGTACGTTGATCATATCAACACATGTTCGATTGAGGCTTATAAAATTAAGAATGTTATATTTCTTGGGAAACGAGACATCATTCTTACCCTCTTTACCTTATGTTACAGGGGCGATTTGCCTACATTAGAGACCACTTTAATGTGAGCGTTGCTTCGACTATAGCGAGACCGTATCTTGTCATAAAAAAAGTGGTAATAGCATTTTGTTCTATAGACGAGAGATTGCTCTTGGAAACTCGAACATCTTACTATGTAACTGCTATTAGTTATTTGGAAACGTTTTATATTCTTTAGCAGAATTTTATAGCACATTTCTCGTAGGAATCTGATGTTATGTATTTACAGTGTCATGCGCAATTCGATTTTTAAAATTTGTTTGCTCGTTTGGTGGAAACGCTTCGAATTTGGATCTTTGTTTTCTCTCTTCAGGCTGTATGCATTTTGGATTAGGCTATCGTTGTTTTCTTTCTTTGGTGAGACCTGCTGTATAATGAATTCATCCAATCAATTCAAATGAATTTTTATAATGAATTCGAAATTTTTGTTTAAAAATAATATTTTTTTTGTGAACTTCTATATCTTGAAATTCATTTATAATAAGTTATACATTATCTAAATTTTCTAGTACTTTCTTGTAGATAAAATAAGTAGGGCAAATTACGAGAAATCCCTTGAATTAAGGTCAAATTACTTTTTTTTTTTTTTAAAACCCTTCACCCATCCTTAATTGCAAAAAACCCTCTCTAGTTTGTTGTCGTCTTATGTCATCCTCCTTACAGTGCGAATTTTGATTGGATGTTTTTTATTCTATGGATATTCCTTAGATGCCAATTTTCCGGTAATTCGATCTTATCTTAGGAAGGCTTTTGGTAATTTTATGATGTCCTTTTTTAAATTTTATTGGACTTTATGAACACTTGATAGAGAGAGTGTACCTAATTGTATAAGCAATTTTATACAAAGTTAGTACATTTTTTTTTTCTTTTTCTGTAATGAAAGTTGGCGATGTGCTCCATACTTCAATTTTCTCCATTCTGAAATGATTAAGCTCTCAAAAAAAGGGCAGATGTCGTTTGATCAAACTTTTCAAAACATCTTATAAGTTATTTAAAGCTTATAAGCTCCTAAAATTTGTCCAAACAATGTTTTTAAGAAGTATCTCATTTTTCGTAGAAAATAAGTTGCTAGTGATCTTATAATTTTTTTTAAAAAGAATTATAATAAAAAAAATGTATCCCTATAATTATATAATATATATTATTAATTTTCTGACTCATAGTAACAAGGAGTATTACTAGATTCCAATTCTATTTAATTTCCAGGTTCCTCTTTATATTATTACTAATATTTATCTTAAATTGAAAAAAAAATATAAGAGTGGAAACAAAATGAACCAAAAAAAAAAAAAGAAAATGGTAACGTGAGGTGGAAAATAAAAACGAAAAAAAGGAATATAAAAGACAAAAGAAGATAAAATTTACAAACAATATTACAAAATATCATTAGCGCTACCCTAGAGTTATCATATCGTTAACTCGTTTTATATATAAGATTATTTTTTAACAAGACAAATCGTGTAGTAGTTCGTAGCGAGAGATGTAAGGTTAGAACATTTCTCTAATTTTTATTTTCAGCATAAATTAAAAAAATGTTTCTTGATTTAGTAGATCTCTTTTCTAATTAGGTGCAAAATCATAAAAATTACCAAGTTATTAGCATTATTGCATTATATATGCAATTGTTTTCGGGAGAATACTTTTCAACGGACTGACCAATATTGTACCATAAGATTTTGTATCACAAGATTTTGATTTAAAATCATAAAAATCACCAATATCTTACCATAAGATTTTGATTTAAGTGCCTCGAAATAACGAGTTTTGTCCGTGCAATTTTTTTTTAATGTTGCAATATTAAAAAGCGGGTAAAATACAAGTAGCAAAATGCTATTAACCCTAAAATAAAATTGAGAAGTGCATATCTCATAAATAGTCTGATTCATCTTTAAATATGACTCCACTTTAGCTTCTTTGTCTTATTTTAACTTTTCACTTTTATAATTTGTCTCATTTTAGTCTTTCGGAATAAACTTTTGTAGCTTTAACGATATTTATTTTATTGAATGAAACGTATTCTTAAAATATTTTTTAATAAATTAAAAACAAATTTGTAAGTACTAAAACAAGATGTATATAATCAACCTATCTTTGCATGCTAACATAAAAGACAACAAACACATAAACAATCAAATACGAGTATATATGCAGATAATATAATTATTGAATATGTTTCTAAGAAATATTATTTTTGTAGTGACAAGAGCAAAACTGAGAAAATGATAATTTGGTCACAATCGAAATTTTAAATATGTAGATAATATAGAACAAGAAATATCATAGAATGACATAATTACATTAATAAAGTTCATTAATTTGAGCTATGAGTTCGAATCAACCAGTAATTGAGAACCAACAATTATCATCCTTAAAAAAAAAAAAAAGCAAAAAAACAAAGTACATTGATTTTAATTGGTTGAACAAAGTACATTGATTTTAATTGGTTGAACACTGTTCTATAATATTCAATCATTTGATTTTTCTAATTGGAAAATGAATTATTCGTTATATTGTATGATTAAGTTGGTTCCATGTAGCTTAAGTTTGAGGACCTCATAAAATTAGACAATTGGTTTGGTAGAACCCTAATAAACAAGTCTCCTTTTGTGGTGTAGAAAATGACACGTGTCTACTCCACACGTGACTATTCCATCTTTTCTTGCTCCGGAAGTTTGACGGACCACACGAGGGCCTAATAAATAAACCACTCTCCTTTATATCTATTTAAAACCTTTTTCCATTTACCTAATAAATTACTATTTTCATTAAAAAAATGCATTATTATTTTTTATATAAAAATAGAAAATAATTTGAATTTATTTTTATTTAAATGCAGGATATGAAAATAAGATACATTTGCTTTATGTTATTTAATACATTAAAAATATGAAAATAACTTTGTTTATTCATTTTCTTGGTAAGTTACCGTCGATCCTGATGTAAGATTAAATTACGGAAAAACTCTCTTTTATTTGGGTAATTACAACCACCCCAACTATGTATGGTCTTACAAACCAATGTTGTCAGAACCGAACCGGCCATGGAACCGGACGACCATTTGGGTCACGGTTTTATAGGGTCGAACCGGTTCAACCGGGTTTTTGATTTTTTTTAATATATCATTATTTTATTAATTTTAATATTTTAAAAATATTATTTTCTTTACATTTTTAATCTTCCACATATTCTTTTCAATTTTATCAATCTCACACCACTTTTTACTACATTTCTTTTGCTTATATTCTATACTTTTCCATTCTTTATTCTTCTAATGCGGCAATTCACCACCGCTATTCGATCACCCATGACCGAATCCGACAATTCTTCGACCACTCATGACTAGATCCGGCCACCCATCACTAAGTCCCCTGAAGATTCACTCAAATCTAGTCATAAATAACCAACTTAGCGGTGATTTGAGATATTTTGGCTGAAAACCGGGTTTTTTGACTGACTCGCCGGTTCTCGGGTTTTACCCGGTCGAACCGGATTTTGGTCATTTGACCCCGGTTTTCATTTTTTCCGGTTTTAGAGGTCAGACCGGACTGCTTCGAAGCCGGGTCACGGTCGAACCGGTCCGACCGGCCGGTTCGGTCCGGTTCTAACAACATTGTTACAAACCTATAAATAAAAAATTATGAATAAAAAAATAATAAATAAGATATATTATTATTATTTGGTAGGGTAAATTGCAGTCACCCCAAATATAAAATTAAATTACGAAAAAACTTCTATTGTTTGGGTAATTATAAACACCCCTCACCTATGTATTATTTTATGAAAACACTTGTTATTCAATAGATAAAATCTTGACACTGTAAGAAAAGACGTATAAGACAAGGCTGCGGCTATATGCAATACTAATTCCACTTGTGCAAGACCAAATTAAAGAAAGATTCCAAAAAATTGCATTTTATTAAGATGAAATGACAAATATACCCATAAATTAAATGGCTTTTATTTGCTCATGCAAGACCAAATAACAAATAATAATAAAATATGAAACAACTAAATTTCGACATTACGGTGTCGAATAAATATCCATAAATTCGACACCTTAATGTCGAAATTTAGTATATTTGGACTAATTTGCTAATAGTAAATTTCGACACTAAGGTGTCGATATTTTACTCCAAAATCGACATCTCAATGTCGATTTTTACCTATAAAATTCGACATGTACATGTCGACTATGTGTGCGCGGGATTTTTTTTTTTAAAAAAAATATGAAACAACTAAATTTCGACATTAAGGTGTCGAATATATGTCCATAAATTCGACACCTTAATGTCGAAATTTAGTATATTTGGACTACTTTGCTAACAGTTAAATTTCGACACTAAGGTGTCGATTTTTTACTAGAAAAATCGACATCTCAATGTCGATTTTTGCCTATAAAATTCGACATGTACATGTCGACTGTGTCTGCACGGGATTTTTTTTTTTTTGAAAAACGATATTCTAGCTAAAAAAACACATAAATGCATATTTTCTTGGGTTTTTCCACCGTAGATTCTTCTATTTTGATGTCTTCTGACTCAATACTTACCATCTTTGTAAGATTTGTTGAGTTTTGATGATTTTAAATGTTTAGGTTTTGTGGGTTTGTAGATGAGGAAGGAGAAAAGGTTTTGATGGAGAAGATGAGAGTTGGTCTTGTGGTTTTGTAATAGGGTTTTTTTTTTTTTTTTTTTGAGTTTTTGGTATTGCACATTTTGAATTTTCTATTTTTTTAACAAGTAAGGGTATTATAGTATTTATACATAAAAAATTTAATTTGGTCTTGCACAAGTGGTTTAAGTCTTGCATATAGCCGCAGCCATAAGACAATTCATAGTTGATGGTTGATTGTAATTAGTCAAATAAGAAGGGTATTTTCGTAATTTGATCTTAACTTAGGAGTGTCTAGCGTGTGATACCAAACAATCCTGAAAATTTATAATTGATTTTCGAAAATAAAAATCTCGGAAAACCAGGTTTGGTAGATAGATACTCAAATCATCTAATAGGGCATATTCTATTTTGGTGATGCTCGGAGTACTCTGCCGGCGCCTTCGACCTCCTTTTTCGCCGCCCCCTTTCTCCTACACTCACGGCGGCGGCGGCTGGACGGCGACTCACTTCGATCGGCGCCTCCACTCAACAATCCCTTTCCCGGCGGTGTCAAAGTGCAGGGCCGCCGCTTCGGTGTGGCACACGATTCTCCCTTGCCGGAGGCGGCGGCGGCGGAACGCTGCGGTGCTGGGCCGCCACGAGAATGAGGCGGTGGTGAAGAGGGGAGAGGGCTCGTGGAACGCCGCCTGGGATTCGAGGCCTGCGCGGTGGCTCCACCACACGGACTCCGCTTGGTTCCTCTTCGGCGTCTGCGCTACCCTAGCCTCCGCCGCCGCCGCCGCTCCGGCGATCGATTCTCCTTGCGATTCGAATCCGGAGGTTTTGTCTTTGAAAACCGATTCATCTTCTAACTACAGAGTCAGGGGTGTGAAAATTATTTATTTAAAATTATCATTTATTTCCATTTTCTATTTCAATTGGATTTTATTTTAATTAAATCATGAAATATTTTAATGTTAATAATTTTATGGTTTATGAATCTCTTGACAGGGGTTACAGCAGATGGGAGATGTTTGTTTAGAGCAATTGCACACATGGTTTGCTTGAGAAATGGCGAAAATGCCCCTGATGAGAATCACCAGAGAGAGCTTGCTGATGAATTAAGAGCTCAAGTATATATATTTATATCACTTTCAGTTTTATTTTTATTTTATTAGTTTTTTTTAGAGTAAATTGTGGAAGAACTATGTGTTATTTCGAATTGCTAATATGAACAAAAATCTCGGGATTTTTGCTAATGTACAGGTGGTTGAAGAGATGTTAAAGAGGCGAAAAGAATTGGCAGGGTTGGTGGTTATTTACTTATGTTCAAAGTGTTCGATTTTTAGTAAAATTGTGTACATGGGAATAAACAGAGATGAAAAAAAACTAAGTTGGATTTTATGTTGTTGGTTTTGTAGTTTTTTTCTCGAGGAAGAGTTTGACGGTTATGTGGAAAATATTCGACAGCCTTATGTTTGGGGTGGAGAGCACGAGTTGCTTATGGCTTCACATGTTCTTAGGTAAGTTCGTTTCATTTACCGTTTCTCAGTCGGAGTTTTTTTGGATGTTCGTTGGCATTTTTTTTAGTCCAAAATGTTTCTATGTTTTAGTATATTTTTGTGGTTTAATTGAGTTTCGTATTCATATTGGAATAATTCTACGTAAAATTGTGGAACGTATTTGATAAACTCGTTTTGCTGGTCTCATTACAGGACACCGATATCCGTGTTCGAGGAAAAGAGAGGCTCAAATAGTTTAATAAACAAAGCAAATTACGGTGAAGAGTATAAACGGGATGGGGAGAATGCCATTAGTGTTTTGTTTCATGACTACGGTCATTATGAAATCTTAGAAGCCGTTTAATTAAGATTCTCTTGTTCGATTTTTTTTGTTTAGAGACTTGAATTTTGTTTAGTAGAATGAAAGTTCGTTTCAAATAGAGTCTTGGTAGTAGTAGTATTAATGAAAGAATATCGATTTTGACAGAAGTTTTAGTTGTTTCAATATTTTATGCAAATTGGTCGTATTCATTTCGTTTTATGCGAAAGGCGATGCAAATTGAATTCATAGGTTGGCTTTTGTTATGCTATTAATTTTTTTTTTTTGAAGCAAGATTGAGTTTTATAAGGGTAGTAGGAACTAGGAACCAATGCATTAGTGAGTTTGCTGCATTATACATTCTTGAATCTTGTATATATTTACATAGTAATTAGTTGCTTTTATTTTTATTTATTGTTTTTATTTTTATTTTTTTAATACAGGCACACTCCCGAAACTGAACCCGAAACTTCCACATAGATATGACCACGATCAGCCGATTCACGGAACAAGAAATCCCAACTCTTGTCTTTACTATTACTGTTCAAAAATGAGTATTTTTTTTAATTAACGGACCAAGTTTCTCGTCTAAATCTTTAATTATACTGCAACGTTTTTGTCGAAGACTAGGTTCAATTTGGCCTCTATGAAACCAAAACCGAAACCGAACCCGAAAACCCGAAATCAAGACGGAAACCGAAACCGAAAGAAAAAACACAACATATTCTATGTCGAAGACTTAGTACGGTGTTATACAACATATTCTATGAAAGAAAAAAAACACAACATAATAATTTTTTCCTTAATGACTGGAAATTTGGAGACTAATAACTCTTCAACTTAGAAAATTAAGCCAGTAGATGAATGTAGACTTTATAGAAGGTGAAATAAGAATATTCGCAACATATTCTTCTTCTTTTTTTTCCTTTTTTTTTCTCTATTTTTTTTTTCAAATTCAAGAGAATCCCTAACCACTTAAAGTGTAATATCAACTTAAAAAGTGTTTGCAAACACCCAAAACTAGGGTTTTAACCAATTGCAGCTAATTATAAATTATCAAAACCAATAAATAATTAACACGAATCACTGTAACTAAAAACAAACTATGATTTTGAATTAATACCAAAAGAAAAACAAACTATGATTTTGAATTAATACTAAAAGAAAAACAAAACATCAACTCATGCATAGCAATGAAAGAAGAAAACATGCTCTAATATTGATAAGCATATATAGCTAATTAAATTAAATTAAATTAAACAGTTGAAAACTCAAATAAAATAAAACCCTAATTCGGAATAAAACCTAAATCTTGAATAACAATCAATCCTCATCAGGTTCGACACCGTCTTCGTGGGCCCACTGGTGCTCCCGCCTAAGCGCCTCTTCCTCCTCCGGCGTATAATCGTTTTCAACGCCAAAAAGTTTCCTCACCGTCGCCACACCTTTATTCCTTATAAATTTAGCAATCTGTCCGGTGGACGCATCTTGTAATTCCTCAATATTGAGGTAGTTGGCCGCATTGACAATGGCGAGGAGGGAATTAAATTCTTTGTCCGAGAAAAATTCCGCGTCGAGCTCGTCTTTCTCTGTCTTAGAGGAAGGATCAAGTAGTGCCGCGTGTTTCTTGAGGTATGTAATAACCCATGACAGGGTTTCTGCGTCGACTTCTTCGAGCGGGATGATACCGCCTGCGCAGCCGTCTTCCACCATGTTCCTGATTGTCACCGATAAAACGGCGACGGTTTCGGGGACCTCAAAAATTTCTCCGTCGTTGCTTCTTAGGGTTATTGTTGTTTCGGGTTTGCTGTCGTTTAGGGTTATTGTTGTTTCGGGTTTGCTGTCGTTTTCTTGAGGAGATGCCATGAATTAATGAGATCGTAGGTTTTTTTCTTATTAGGATGAAAGAAAAAAAAAACAGAAGATAGGCGATGAATAAAAAAAATTGTGCTAGCTATGTGTGTTATTTATAGGGGTTGATTGGGTAGTTAGTTTTGTGATTGGATTAGGAAAACATGTGGAGTATTTAGGAATTATAAAAGTCTAGAATTTTCCTTATTTAAGACTAACTAGAATATATATATATATATATATATATATATATATATATATATATATATATATATATATATATATATATATATATATATATATATATATATATATATATATATATACTTAATTATGAGTCTGTTTTTCCGGACAATCATAATACTTTCTCGATTATTATGGTTCAGCCACCGGGGCAACCCACTGCTGACCCGACCCGCTTTTGAACTCATTGATCAAGTAAGTTTTATTTTCTCTTCACACACCGTTTTAATTTCTTGTTAGGGTTTGATTCATGCGCGTGTTTTAAGCTGTTTATTTCTTCTGTGGAGATTTTTTAGCCTTTCGGGAGATGTTTTGTAAATTATAAATGTCAGAGCACTGGATCTTATTAAGTGTGTATTAAGATTATGTTAATTTTATGACTTAGAATTTTGCTCTGCAAACCCCCGAATTTTTTTCGAACTGTGCAAAATTTGATCGATTTTATTTTTGCAGAAATAGAAACTAACAAATACTTAGATACAAGTTTCATAAGTTTTTTGTGAAGTCAGTGTAAAGATCGATGTAGTTGTCACCTGACTTCACCAAAGCAGTATGCCTCGACTCCTCAGCTATAATCGCGTGTGACTCATTTACGAAAATTCGCAATATCGAGTTTAAATCTTATGAATTACGATTCAAATCGTACGATTACTTTAAGTCGATTCAAAAGTTAAAATAATTCTTAAATATCAACAAATCGATCAAATTTTACGATTTAAGAAAACTTTAATTTGTTATATTATTTATAATAAACTTGTGATAATTGCAGTTTTGGTCCCTATATTATATACCATTTTTACTTTTGGTCCTTACACGGAAATGCCCCCAAGTGGAGATCAAATTGTAATTTCTAAAAATTCACCACTGACTGAAACAATTCTAAAAATTGCAGAATCACCCCTATACTTACTCCATCTTCCCAGCTGCCCCACCCAAATTGCAAATTTAATCCCAAAGTGGATCTCTCTTGCAATATCCGAAATATTCGCCACCAATGCAGTATGCTTCCACTCCTCCTCAATTAAGTCAACTTGTCAAAGCTATGTAAGGGGCGGTGTACTAAATAAAACACGACATAGGGGGGTCTGTGCTAATTATTTAAATATAAGGGTTTTTTTAGCCATTACATATTATACAAGGAGGCCGGTGCAAATAACTCCGTTAAAATTATATCCTCCGTTTCATAAATCCGTATTTTTAAAATAAATATTTTGTTCGATATTATCTGCCACATTAGACTCCCACTTATGTATTAAATACATTAAGAATTTCGAAAAGTGTAAAAAAGAAAAAACTTCTTTGAAACTTGAAATTTTCAGATCGAAATCGGCGTATATCGAATATTTTTTTTGATTTTGTAGTCACATAAATATAAAATCCATAACAATACTAGTATTACATGTGTTATTTTTCAAGAAAAAAAAAATCGAAAAATTTCAAAATTATTTTCGAAAATTAAAATCAGAATCTTATTCATATGACCCAATTCCAATTACAAAAAGGAACAAAATGGAAATCGGAATTTTAATAAATCACAACAAAATTTCTTCCAAAATTGGAAAAGATCATATCGAAATCGAAATCGGCACAAATCGAAAATTGGTTCCAATCATAGGCATATATTTTGTTTTGGTCAAAGGTACAAGCATGAAATACATATATAAATGAATTAAGGTTAAACCGTGTGTACTTGAAATGCAACTTAGAAAAAGAAGAAAGAAAAAAAAAATGATGTCTCTGAATCCATCGACTTTCGAAACCATAGTCCCTTCCCGCTATCTCACCTTCTCCTTCCCCGACCCCCACCGCCGCCGCCGCCGCCACCTCCGCGTCGCCGTCCTCGATTCTCCCTCCGCCGTCATCTCCGCCGACGTCGCCGCCGTATGGGTCCCGCCCGGCCGCGAAACCGACTGGATCTTCTCCACTTTCTCCGGCCACCTCCAGCTCCTCCTCTCCTCCACCACCACCAACCAACCGCTCTCCCGCCTGATCCTGGTCGGCAAAACCCCATCTCAACCCCACCCATCTTCCTACAACTCCGATCTCCACCACCCCTCTTCCTCAGCGCCGCCGCAGCAAAATCTCGCCCCTCTGTTATTAGCCCTATCCCCCAAATCAGCGTTTCTCGACAACGGCGAAATTCCCGAAATACCCTTCTTGATTTACGAGGACGATGTAGTTAAAAGCTCGGTCTTGGAGATTTGTGTGGGCCCATGTGTAGGTGAAATGTTGGTAGAAAACGTCGAATTGGAAATCGATGGGGTCAAAGAGTTCAGGAGGAGGCTTAGGTTTAAGCGAATGCCGAATTTCGTCCAATCCCAGATTCGAATTGTCCCGGAAAGTAAATCAAGATTCAAGAATCTACCGAATTTTGAGGATTTGTATTTCGAATTGGATAACGGGGTTTTGGTGCAATCGTATTTGAGTCCTATGGTAGGCGGCATTTCCGTAATTAGTCAGTTCTTGGAGGGGCAAATGAAGAATATTGGGTTCCGGCCGAAAGCTTTGTGTTTGGGTGTTGGAGGAGGGGCATTGGTCGGATTCTTGAACGCCCAATTGGATTTCGAGGTTTTCGGAGTTGATAATGACGAGGTTGTAATAGAAATTGGGAAGAAATATTTCGGATTGGAGAGCAACGAGTTTATCCATTTGTTTACCGATGACGCAATTAAATACGTCGAAACCCTCGCAGAAAATACAATCGAGGGTGATAAATTCCATGCTGTTATGGTCGATTTGGATTCGAGTGATCCTACGGTGAGTGTTTGTGCACCGCCGATGGGGTTTGTAAGAAAATCGGTTCTTGAAGCAATCAGAGATGTTATGCACGACGAGGGCGTTCTTGTAATTAACACGATCCCTTCGAGCAAGTTGGATTACGAGAGGCTGATTTGTGAGTTTCATGGGGTGTTTGAGGAGTTGTACGAGATCGATACTGGAAATGGGGATAATTTTGTTCTTATTGCAACGAAGTCCAAAATCGAGAATGCTCTGGAAGCTAACGACGGCCCGTTTTTGAGTAAGTTGAAATCGGTTGTTTCGAGATCGTATATAGATTCGATAAGGAAAATCTCGAAGAAGAATACTATTGCCTTGTGAAAAAAAATGTATTCGTATTAGATTCTTTGTACATGCCGATTTATCAACCCGATAAACGTATATGTGTGGCAAAAACTTACTTAACTCCTAATTTTGCTTTTGTCTTAGGTTTTCAAACATTACTATACCAATTATTTTACGTAGTTCACATCTCTTTATCTCGTCATGCTGTCGGATTTGTGTTCTCTTTAATATTTATATTTCTTCTAAGTGATTACGATATATGTTCGATACCGAATTCCAATCACTACAACTTGGTAACACTAACCGAATAAATACATATTCCTTGCATGAAACGTAAATATTGGAACATACGAACAGGTGATGGAGGATATAAGTTTCGTTCGAGTTTCAAGATTTCCTCAATCGGGCATTTTGTTTTATACGAATGGGGTATTTTTTGTAATCGACCTTCGTTTGCAGTTCCGATATTACCTTCGTTTTCTTGTAACTCTAGTGTGCAGTATAATGTGCATAACTCCTTAGCAAGAATTCATCTACACATGATTAAAGCTTTGACAACAAACACAACATCCTCAAAATTGGCAAATATAATTAATTAATTACAAGTACAATTCCTCTAAATAAAAATTAAAAAATAAAATTACAAGGCTGGAAAACTCAAAATTGAAAAAAAAGAAAAACCCAATAAAAAATAAAAAAATCCCCAATTAAATCAAAGAAGGGTGATGAGGATAAAGATGAGGAGAGTAGCAACAATGGTGTATTTAAGAGCAGCAAGCAAAATAGCCCCAGATATCACAAACAGCTGCCACAGTACCTGCACGCTTGCCCACGTCAGCAGACCCGTCAACCCGACTGCCACGATATTATCCGGGTCCGGATCCAAAACTAGATCCACCCAATTGATCTTCAATTTGGGTTTTCCGCTCTCCGCCTTCCCCTCGTCGCCGTTCTCCGTCGGCCGCCGCTTGTCGCCGTCGCCGCCATTTTGTGCATAAATTCGGAATTGTTGGGATTTTTTAAGGGTTGTTGAAAATGAGGGGAAATTATTAGGGATTTGGAGGGGAAAGGGTTTCGATTTTGAAGGGAAAATTGGGGGTAATTGTGGCGGAGGGGATCTCAACCCTAACATTTGGGATTCCAATTTCAGCGTCTCCCGATCAGAATTCAAAGCTAAATATATTTAGTATTTTCGTGTGTGTATTTATATATATCTGTGTTAAGTGTGTGTATTTATATTTGTGTGTTGTTACTTGTTAGTGAGACGAGTGATGTACAACTAGTTTTGCATAAGGTCCAATTAGTTTTGTGACCTCTCAAGGAGAACAAAAATGATAAAAGAAATAGGATAAATTACAACTACCTCTGAGGAGAGGTATAGGCAAATTACGAAAATCCTCCCTTCTGTTTGGGTAATTACAACCACCCATCAATTATTAAATTTTCTTAAACGTTCACCCTTGCGGTTTCAAATTTAGTGGAATCTTCGTGATTATATGGCATATTATCATTTTCTACCCGTTTTATTCCATTCTAACTATATATTTTGAAGCAAGATGATCATAATATGTGTTTTTTAGCTTGTATATATCAGATTGCGGTGCATCAGAAACTATATTTTTACACAAAACGAGTATAGACTATAGTCAAATTCCACAAAATTTAGATAATTATGTTGAATTTGACATCATAAGGTTGGAGGTGTAAGAAAAAATCATAATTGAGGGGTAGATATAATTATCCAAACAAGATGATTTTTTTCGTAAATTAACAGTAACTCAAGGGGTGGTTGTAATTTACCCTAAAGAAATATAAAGAAGAAACTAACTATCAATGTAGACAAGGCCAACCGTCGGGTCCGGTTTCAGATCGGCGGTTGCGGTTCCATCGCTAGGTCGAGCTTGTCACACATGGTTAGCCTAGTGTGGTTTACATCTCTCGTATGGTTTGCAAGCTATTATACGAGAGTGTAGGTTTACCCAGTGCACCTATATGGTTGGCTGCGGGTTCCTCATTACCAAAAAAAAAAAAAAAAGAATTGGAATCGGACTGCCTATATAAGGGTTGGAGGTGCTTTTAAATCCATCCGTTTTCGATTTTGGTTAGATGCCGCGATTAATTGGTTTTTATTTTATTTGTCAAGACAATCAAACTTTATCGGGGTTGATCCTACTTTGCACTCTTTGTAGCATTTTGGTACTTTACATACTTGAAAATATTAATAGTATTTTATGTATTCGAAACATAATATATCATTTACAATCACCCTGAATTGAGTATTCTAAATTTAACGAGGTAAATTTCATTTTTACTTGTTTGTTTTCTTTTGAAGATGCAAAATAAAAAGTTAAATTTTTATCTGTTTCTTCTACATCTAACATAATTCAAGTATAAGTGTGAGAGAAAAAAATCACACCAAATTACTTAAATGACTATATTTTCTTTAAAAAAAGAAAAAAGAAATTAAAATTTCCTCACTAAATTATTCAATTAGTGGATCTTTAATTGTAATTGATGAAAATATTTGGTAGAAATATTTGGAAGAAAATACAAATTTTATATAACTTGATAACAAAGTAACTGAAGAAGTTTATATATATATATATATATATATATATATATATATATATATATATATATATATATATATATATATATATTGATGAGATGTATTTTTAATTTGCATTTTATAGTTTCGAAAGGATGGATAAATATAACATTTTTTAATTGACATTTGGCATTCTAAAGAAATTGCACTAAAATATATTAGAATAACTAGTCAAAGTTGTTGTTATTTGATAACTTTGCCACTAATAATTTTTAAAATAAATATAAAATTAATTTAACTACTTGAAAAGGAGAAAGGCCCAAGAAGGCCCATCAAAGAAGAAGGCCTAGTTTTATAGAGAACATGTAAAACATAATGTTTTTACTCTCTAATGTTTTTTTTTTTCAGAAATACGAAAAATATAAATACTCATTCTGACTTAATCGTCGGAGTTTCTGCACCGGGAAAAACCCTCCCGATGTTACAGGTACCACGACCGGTCAAGGTTCCGACAGAACTTGAAGCTGAAATCACCTTACCAACTGGAGATATATATTGGCATCTAGCTCTCTTTGAATTATAATTTGTTCATTCATGTCAATGCAATAATTTGTTAATAATATTTCTTTTAAGTAGCTTCACAATTAATATGTATGTAGTAGCTTCTATTCCTAGATGGATTGTATAATCCCATCCCATCACCCGAACCAAAATATATGGATTGTGCCATCCCATCCCATCCCATCCCATCCCATCCCATCCGATCCCAACACCCGAAACAAAATAGGCCTTCAATATGATCTCTAGTCCTCACCGAAAACTTAGATAAATTATTTAAAGAAAGCAAAAAAAAAGAAAGAAATTGGTAACAATAATTAAAAAAGAATGAATGCATCAATCATGCAAGAGTTATTAAGTAGAAGCACAAGACAGTTGGGAGGTAGGGTTAGATTCTTCTGTGTTTGCAGAGATAATTCTCTGCACATTTTCTACTGTTACAAATTTTTTTTTTCTGGTTACAACAAACAAAACCCATATTTATTATTTAAGATAGAATTCAAACATTATGTCAGTGTCCGGAGGGAACATAGGTTGTAAATGAGTCACATTTTTATTGTTATTTTAAAAAGAACCCCTTTGACTTGTGGTTATCACATGATAACTGCAACCAACTTTACTTGCCCACATTCAATTCTTATCATGTGTCTACACGTGTTTCTTCAACTCAATGCTTGCATTATTTTTGTTTTGTTTTTTTTTTTTAATTTTCTCGTTTCGTTACAAAATAATTGTCGTTTAAAATTGCGACACGTTATTGCTTCGTTTGCTTTCTACAAATTAAGTTGAATTGACTAAATAGAAGGAGTTAATAAGACAGTCTGATTATTGGAAAGAGTAAAAATTACTGGGATGTTTGTTTTTATTTCGAAAACACAATTTTCAGTTTTATACTGTTCATTAACCGAGATTATATTTGTTTGATAATTTTATCCTGAAAATCTCAGTTTTTCTTATCAAATTTCTTTTGAAAATATACTATTCATATTTTTTTCTAATTTTCAAACCTACTAAAACCTACTAACTAACCTATATATTTTATTCCACCAACTCATTTCTTTCTTCTTCTATTCATCACTCATCATTAATATTTACGATATCTCTCTCCTCTCATTTCTCTCTCCTCATTAATATTTACACTATCTCTCCTCCCAAA